GTTAAGTATATTCTACAAGTATGTAAAAATTAAATAAGACGATGAATACTAAATGATTATCAAGACACAATCACATAATCTGAAGTTATATTTCCTGAGAGACAGAACTGACTCCAGTGTTTTCCGGGACCCTCTCATCTGCTCTGAGCACCACCCTCTCCTCAGCCGTCCCACCCCAGAGCTTGCTATATAGTCGGGGACATGCAAATAGGTCCCTCCCTCTTCTGATGAAAAGCAGCCCAGCCCTGACCCTGCAGCTCTGGGAGAGGAGCCCAGCCCCAGAATTCCCAGGTGTTTCTGTTCGGGCATCAGCACTAAACACAGAACACACCATGGAGTTTGTGCTGAGCTGGGTTTTCCTGGTTGCTCTTTTGAAAGGTAATTGAGAGTGAAGTAGAAATACTGTGTGTGAGGAGACATGAGTGAGAGGAACAGTGGATATTTGTGGCAGTTTCTGACCTTGGTATCTTTTTGTTTGCAGGTGTCCAGGGTGAGGTACAGCTGGTGGAGTCCGGGGGCGGCTTGTCAAAGCCTGGGGGGTCCCTGAGACTCTCCTGCGCAGCCTCTGGATTCACATTCAGTGACTACAACATGCACTGGGTCCGCCAGGCTTCAGGGAAGGGGCTGGAGTGGGTCTCAGGTATTAGTAATGATGGGGGTAGCACATGGTACGCAGACTCCGTGAAGGGCAGATTCACCATCTCCAGAGAGAACGCCAAGAACACACTGTATCTTCAAATGAACAGCCTGAGAGCTGAGGACACGGCTGTGTATTACTGTGCGGGAGACACAGTGAGGGGAAGTCAGTGTGAGCCCAGACACAAACCTCCCTGCAGGAACGCGGGGGGTGGAAATCAGCGGCAGGGGGCGCTCGGGACCCACTGATCAGAGTCAGCCCGGAGGCCGGTGCACACGGAGGCTGATTTCCTGTCAGGATGTGGGACGTCATCTTTCTACAGTTCCTCTAGTGAACCTCTCTGAGTTCAGAATTCTCTGGTTACTAATGTCATCTCTACGTATTTTTTAAATGATTGTTTTACTATGAAAACCTATTCTCATATGTACAAAATGCAGACGATCCTTACCGAGAAGATGAGAAGTTCCCAGCCATGGTCGCCACAATCAGAGTCCTGAGGAAGCTCAGGCTTCCTGGTGAGTCTTCTCCAGTCAGACTCAGGACAGGAACCTGAGGAAGATTCCTGACTAGAACTGAGTATGGCTCCTCACAAGAGGGCGCTAGCTGCGGGCGGCTGTTCCTGCAGACCTCTGATTCGGCGGCGGGTGACTAAAACGTACGCTGACACAGGTATTCCGCTTTGCCAGTTCAGCTGAGGGTCCGAGGCCGCTGACTGACTCCAAGGAGAGGCCTGTAAAGAATGGCAGCAGAGAATGATGGTTTCCAGCTGCATCCATGTCCCTACAAAGGACACAAACTCATCCTTTTTTATGGCTGCATAGCATTCCGTGGTGTATGTGCCACATTTTCTTAATCCAGTCTGTCACTATCGCAAGAACAGAAAACCAAACACCGCATGTTCTCACTC